AAAGGAAAAAGATCAATTCACCTGGTATTATTTCTTTCTACCTCTGTTCTGTGGAAACATGTGACTAAATTGCTCACCATCATGACCTCAAAATCAGTTCTTAAGTGTTAACTTGCTTTCATAGCCTTTCTGCTTCCTTCCTGGATGGTAACCATAGTTCTCTGAAGTAGTGTGGAGTTGAGACCATTTCTATTTGGGAAAGAAATCATTGCTGGTAAACTCATATCCAATTACTAGCGAGAGTGCGTAATTTCAAAGAAAATTTGCATCTACACCTTCAAAGTGGTGGCTTCCTCACCCTTTTTTATCATCTCTCAAGGCCCCTTAAAGAAGGAATAATCAGTTTATCATCCTGTATCAGAAATGGAAGGCCTCTAATATTTGTCACCTAGAAGAGAGTCAAAAGATGATATGCTCTCATTCTGGAAATACTGGTCATTACTTTGAAAGATATTGAAATTCAAATTTATTATTTCCCAAAATATTAACTTAGTGACAGCAGGATAACATTTTAGAGATTTCTTCCCCTGTGAGACTGTAAACACACAGTTCTCCTGGCCTCCGCAGATCCTGGCAGGTTGTTCTCACTCATAAAAACACAGTTATCACCCAGCACAGTAGCACATGTCTGTAATTCCAGCTTCTTGGGAGGCTGAGGCCTCAAGCTGGAATCTAGCCTTGGCAACTTAGTCAGACCCTGTCTCAAAATAAAAGAGAATTAAAAGGGAATGGGTTCAGAATTCCTTGGGTTCAATCCTTAGCACTAAAAATAAAAACAAAAACAAAAAAAACCCCCACAGCTACACTCAGAGCTATGCAGGGATGAAGTGGCAACTCCCTTGTTGCCTGTGACCTATGTCCCCTGTAGTAAGGACTAGAGGAGACAGGTGCCCCATTCCGCAGTCCCCACCAGCTGCCAGAGGAGATTCGTGAGCATGCAGTGTCTAGCACATTATAAATGTTTGTTAATTGACTGATCATTCATGGCGTGACAACCCCATAACTCAGCTATCCTATTCAGTCAGAAATTAACTCAGTAATCAAAGTCATTAAAGGGGGGAGGGGTGGATGGAGAGAAACAACTATAGCACCAGCCAGATGGCAGGGGAATCAGACAGATGAAAGGAAAACGGCTGCAGGTCATTGAGTACAACTCTGGACAGCAAAATGTGGACTTGTGCCTGGTTATATTCTGAATTCTAGCTTGAGCAAGGGTTGGTAGGCTTTCCAAAGTCCTAGTTTATTCTAAGTTTTCGGTAAGCCAAGCAGCATCAGTGAGACACACAGACATGTGAGCACTGGTTCCGATGGTCCCTGATCAGCTCAGGCCCTGATGTGTGTGTGAGTAACGGGAAAAGAGCTGAGAGACATGGAGCCCTGACCCAATGTTTGAGATGCCTTGGGCAAAAGTATGAATGGGAACCCCATGAAATGTGTCTATAAACATTTAAAAGTTTTAAGCTAATAAAAGTTTTAAATAGAATGTGTTGTACCCTGCTACTTTGAGAAATATTTTGCCAGAAGTCCTGGAAGACCAGATTGAAACATACAATTCTTGACCAGTTGGAATTCTGTCCTTGCATGTGGTGACATCAGAGCTGGTCTCTGGTCAGCCTCCTCCTGCCTGACTGTGTGACACTTAGTACAGGCCCTCAAGCTCTGTATGTGAGCATTGCTCTATGTGTCTGAGCCTGAAATGGTAGTTTCTTGTCCACCCTTAGTTTTTTGGGCTGTGTAACACCAGCCACTGAGTCTGCCATTGGGTGGGCTGACCCACGCAAGCCCTGGAAACAGACTCAAGACTGTTTAAGGAGAGAATTCTAGGACTCTAGAAGTACGGTGAACTCAACGATTCCACATGCCAGTTGGAGGAAGACCCATTTAAAAAGGAAAGGAGTATGCCATTGGGGGTGTCAATGGAGAAGCCCCTCTTGGAGGAGTCTGAGGGTCCCAGTGGAAATATACAGAACCCCGTGCTGACCATCTCTCATCTCCCTTAGGTCCCTTCTCTGTCCCAGCAGCCAGACTACACAAGTCTTAATGTGCATCTTTTGGTCATAAATAGTTATCCTTGTAAGGGTAACTATTAAATAAATAGTTACCCTTGCAATAGTAAGTCATAAATAGTTACCCTTAATCCAGCATCTCTTTTATGACCACAAACAGAGAGAAGCAAAAATATCCCAAAGTCACACTGCATGGTTGTCCTTCACATACTATAGCAGCCATGGAAATGCCAGGGACTCGGACTTGGTTTCAGCCCTCTGATTCTGAGGTGACTGAGTTGACCTTACTATCAACCCCAGAATCCAGAGCACATTCTCAGACTGTCCTCAGATTGTCCTCTTTATGACCAGACCACAGACTATCTTGGGTGCTTGCATATTTGATATATTAGGCATGCCAAAGGCTTTGAGTTTCAAGACATCCTGAGTGACTTTTACTTTAGGAATTTGAAATGCATGCTCACTCTGATGCTGTCTTCTTAACAAAGTAGTACCTTTAAAATATTTAACAACTTGAAAAGGAAACCGAACTTGAATTTTCCTTTCAGGCACTAAGGAAATAGTGTTTCACTTTTGTCTGAAATTCACCATCTCCACAGACAAAGAAATCTCTTATGGTAAAAGCAATGGCATTTTCTCCACAATTTTCAAATAAAAGATAAAGAAAAAACAGCATTGCAGCCTTTTTTGTTAGGATCTAACAATAAAAGAATAATATGATTTTGCCAGGGGAGAGCTATGGTTTGAAGCTCAGAATACAAAAATAGACTGACAAATCTTACAAAGGGATATTCTCAACTACCACACTGAGGCTGGCAGGAAGTGAAGTCTCAAGAAAATCATATCATTTGATTATTTGGGGGGTTCATGATGATGATCAGGCTGGTGGGTGAGTACTAGGTAAAACTTTAAAGCAAAGAAATGTGAGGTCACCTTGTCTGCTTGTCCCTGCCCCTGCCTCTGTCCCCGCCATGTGATCAGACTATACCCCAGTCGGAACCGAACTTTGGGAGGGTCATGGGGGCCATTGTAACTCCTGTGGCATGCCCCCCCTACTCCCCGCCCTGCCTGGACTGGCCACACAGTCCAGCCTCTCTTTGCTCCATTTCCTGGAGTTCCTTCCACTTATTTTGTAGAAGCCTTCTACATGCTACCCACCTTCTTGGCATCATACTGTTATGCCCACTGTAATTGGCTTATAATTGCTTTTACATTTCTGCTAGATCACACACTCTGTGAGAGCAGAAGCCATGTAGATATTTTCTAACATTTCAATCTCCACCACAATCCCTGTGCTTGGCACATAACATGTTTAATTGAAAAAATGAATGGGTGAATTAATGAATGGGAACTGAAGCCACTATGTTGCTACTCCCAGGATATTTGAATTAGCTGTAATTTAAGAATAAAAAGCATTTAGCCCTCCTAAAGGAGTTATAAATGTAATGGGAGAGTATTTGGAGGAATAAGCACTGTAATACATTTTGGTGTTTGCCTTCACTAATGTAGTCAGGTTTTCCTGGGGTGTGGTAATGAATTATGATAAAGACTTGCCAGCAAAAAGGAATACATATAAACCATAGCGATAGCTACCCATTAGTATTTATAAGTGTCAATTCCAACGTCAAACGCTAATTGTGCATTATTAGTGGTGAGCACCTTTTTAGATTAGGAAATCAAGACTTTGGGTGTTCAAATTTGGTTGATTCACATAGTAAGGGAAAGAATTAGGATATGAGCCCAGTTTTCTTTTACCAAAGTCAGAAAGCTATCTCAGCCATTTCCTATTAACTGCGAGCCCAGTGAGGCAATCTGGGATACAATAGAATAGAAGGCCTGTGGAGTCAGGTCGTTCACTGCATTTGCGATCTGGTCCCTCTTGCCACTTGCTTCTTGCCCAGTGGCTTCCCCCCATCAGGAGTCTCTCATCCCTAGTCCTCAGGCTGATGATGTCTATCAGAATCTCCAGGTTCTGTGTGGGAGCACCTCTGTACTAGAGAGATCTCACAGAGATCATAGCTATGTTGTTAAGCTTAGGTAATGAGTGATAAATGATGGAGAAAAATAATAATAGTGAGCTAAAGCTCACCCTTGGAAATCTAGAGTGAAAGTTCAAAGCTAGTCCGGCGGCTCCAGGGGTCTGGGATTCAGATTATTCTTTCTTGTTTTTCCATAGTTCATGGTATCCATTTCTGAGATCACCTGAATAATCCCAGCTGAGTAATGTTGTCTTTCTTCAAGGGACTCAGGTGACCAGGTAAAAATCTGAATCCAGTAAAAGGCAAGGAAAACACTTATGCTCTACCTCAACACATTATCCATGATTATCTTAACCCAGGGCATCTGTGGCCAGTTAGGAGCTGGAGGGGCTGTGGTCATTCTTCTAAAACAAGACCTGAGCCTCTAACAAGTGACTATATGACTGATATATGACTGCACACACTGTATGACATCCTGCATCACCTGTGAACTACAGAGAAATTTATTCTCTTGAAGCCATGTCACAGAGATGGCTGCATTACAGTCTGCTTCTACTGCTGAATTTTTAAGTGTCCCAGCCATTCAACCTTCAGTCTTTGTGAGATCAGCTTGATTCTAATCACACTCACTACTCACCCCAGTCTTCCTCACTCAGAGCCATAACTTAAGCACCACCACTCATAGAAATCAGTCTCATGGTGACACATTTGCAATTATATTTGGGGGTAGGGGTTTGAGACAGGGTTTTGCTTTGCAATTCAGGCTGGCCTTGAACTCACTATGTAGCCTAAGCTGGCCTTGACCTCTCAGCAATCCTCCTGCCTGAGTGAGAGTGCTGGGATTACAGGCATGTGTCACCACACCTGGTTTAACTGCAATAATATGTTTTTGCAGAAGAGTATAAATGAGGGTTATGGTAACAGAGTTGATTTGGTTTGTTCATCAGTCCTCTTTCCTGTACCCTACAATCAAGAAATATTTCTCCCAACATCTTGTTTGTTCCTTCTATTGCAGGCTCCTGTGGCTGTCTTGTCATGATTTTGTTTGCCTCTGAAGTGAAAATCCACCACCTCTCAGAAAAAATTGCAAATTATAATGAAGGGACTTATGCATACAAAACGCAAAATGAAAAATACACCACCTCCTTCTGGGTCGTTTTCATTTGCTTTTTTGTTCATTTGCTGAATGGGCTTTTAATACGACTTGCTGGATTTCAGTTTCCTTTTTCAAAATCGAAAGATGCAGAGACAACAAATGTAGCCGCAGATTTAATGTACTGAGAAGCAAGCATTGTCATTTTCCGACGAAGGAAGTGGGTTTGCTTTGGCCACTCTAACAGAGTTAATTTTATCCATCCTTTCAGGCTGTGTAAAGCACCAAAACCCTCCACAACAATGTTTAAAAATTATGAACTAAGGACATTGGATGGAAAGTAAGGGAAACTTCTTTGTAATCTTGTTTACCTGGTGGGAAGTCCTTAACCCAGGTAGTCAAAACAATTGCCTAGAATGGACAAATTGTTACTCTGCATACATATCAAAGTACAAGATGCCAGCCAGGCATGCTGGTGCACACCTGTAATCCCAGCACTTGGGAGACTAAGGCAGGTGGATCACAAGTTCAAGAGCAGTCTGGGCTACATGGTATCTCAAAAGAAAGAAAGAGAGAGAGAGAGAAAGAAAGAAAGGAAGGAAGGAAGGAAGGAAGGAAGGAAGGAAGGAAGAAAGAGAAAAGAAAGAAAAAACAAGGTACCTTTACCATCACCAAGAGAATTGGCAGGCACAAAGAATATATGTTATTAGAGACAAATACTATATCTGTATGTCCATGTATTTGTTGCCACAGATATCATAAAACAGACTGGAATTGCTTTTATCAAATAATAGTATATTAAATGAACTAATTTACTTTTTAAAATAAAAGGTTTAAAACGTAGTCGATCCTTTGGTGAAAATTTACAAACCTCTGAAAGCAAGCAAAAAAAGAAAGATATTTTCTCTCCTGTGTTTGAGTCATAACTATACTCACAACTACAATCAAAAACTACACTCAACTTTCAATGAATGTAATTGCTGGAACAATGCAGGATAATCTGGATGGTACAGATGATACAAAAGGACTCATCAGGGCTGCTGTTTCTAGCTGACGGTCATGAGCCCTCACTGCCCATTATAAAAAGTGCATTTATACCAGATTACAATGATATCATGGAGTCGTGTTGGATGAGCAGTCACAAACCACCACTTGAAGACATTTTTTTCTGAGTTACAATGAATTTGACCTGCAGTTGGCCAAAGGCCACAACTTGACCCTTCCTCAACCTCAATCTTCTCAGGCTCAAGGGAGCACTCAGGAAAAAGCAGAAAAGGAGGAAAAACACGCCACGCAGCAGGCCCCGTCCACAGGTGCTGTGCATTAAGAACACACTGCCAGGTCTGGGCCTGGACGCTTGCGGGGGGGGGGGGGGTCCTGGCCACAGGTGCTAGCTACTTAAAGACCCTCAGAGATGGGGTTTGCAAGTGATAATTAAAACAAAATAGCTTTTCTTTTTGGAATGATTTGGAAGGAAGAAAACGACTAATGGTAGACCCACTAAATGATTGAGGTGGTGGATTGAGGTTCACGGGCAGCCATCAAAACACACCTAGGTCTCCAGGTGCACTGTACACACACACACACGCACGCACGCACGTAGACACACACACTGCCTTTTGCAGCACATTTGAGACTGTCTAGAAATCTACATGTCAGTCTGGCTGCAGAGGGGCAGGTAGGCACGCAAACCTCAAGCTGAAATGGTGGGTCTCCAAGCTTTGGTGATTGGTGTGAGCCAGAAATACCAGGCCACCCAGAAGCAAGACAGGGATCTTTGGGTCAAAGGCTGGCTTCTCTCCTCAACCCAGCTCTCCCGTGATCTCTTTTCTCAGAGGCTTAGAAAACTTCTAAAAGCAACTTTTTTCTGTAGAAAACAAGTTTCTGGCTATTCTCTGTTCTGTACAAAGAGAAAGAGCAGCTGCTGAAAATCTAATTTGACCTAGAGGCAGACCAACAGTATTTCCTCCAAGAGCAGTAGAATCAGCCTGTCCAGATATCCCCACAATCTTCCCCTGAAGATTGTGCAGAATGCAAAACCACAATGGTTCCTTCCCTTTTCTCACAGATAAAATGCTCTGTGACCCTTATAGCAGAAGTCTGGTCAGTATCTGCTCCGTGGCTCTGTCTGAGGGATCAGAGGCCCAGAACTAGCATACATTTTGTGATCAGTATCTCTCCGTGGTGGCAGCATTCTCACATGGACACGGGGCCCCCTGCTGGCTCTGGGACGGCAAGCACCATGCCAGGGTAGGGCACCCATCTCATTGTCACCTGACACCCAAATACCAACGTTTGTGATGCTGTGCGACAGAAGTCTGAATGCTTCTGTGCTCAGTTCTCCCAGGAGGATTAACTGGCAGTACAGAATTAACTGGGCAGCACCCCACCCTTTAGATAACTGGGTACCTCCAGTTCTCAAGTCTTGTGCCCTGGTCCCATCTGTTCATCAGAGAAGTGGCTTGACCCTCACCTGGCAGGCGTTTGAAAGTGATCAGTTTGGCTGTGACTCACACATTTATGTAAGTCTAGGATGACAGAGGCAGGGATCGCAAGGTGGAAAGGGAGGGGAACGAGGCTGCCCCTCCCTCCTCTGGTGAGGAAGGGGGTGTGCATTGGTAACTTCGGGTACACCAGCTCCAAGGTAGGCATGGTTGACTGGTGTCATACACAGTCATCCCACCTTGACCCGGAGAAAGCTAAGTCAGAACCAATGGAGAGGGAAGCCTGAAGGGTAGGAAGTGGGAGCAAGGTGCTGGCTTGCCTCAGTGACAGCCAGTAATAGTTAAAGACAGTGCAGCTGTTATAAAAACACTGACTTAAAACCTGTCCCAATCCCTGCCCCATTTCACTGCCTGCCACCACGGTGCATTTTGATACTTTTACCCATGCACCTAAGTGTACCTGGGTGAATTCAGAGGATCCTGGCAGGTGGTTCCTGTACTATCACAGTATGCAGTGTGGACGCTAGTGATGTCTCCTCTCTCCTCCCCCTTCAGCATGGAAGTTGGTTGTGATTCAAGGCTGATGGCTGCCCACAAGTGACACAGGACAGAGCAATGCTGGTCAGCTGAGAAAAAACAGTGTTCATTCCTGAATGCTAAAGGGCAGAGGGAAATACTGGGCAGGACATGGGCCTTGGCTTGTGGGCCAAGATTCTCCCTTAGGAAAAGTCTTCTTGCTCGTGAAAACACTGATGTAAAATGAATTAAATTAGATTTTGATGTACAAACTTTGCTGCTGCTGCCCTCTGACACAACCAGGAACACTTGCAGGTATTATACCTGGAACCGGTGCACACTGGGCTCTCTGGAAAGTCTAAAGATCCACAATGGAAATCTCCAAAGTCTCCCTGCCAGTGCTGATGAGGAGTCTCAGACAATTGTAAAGTCTGAACTGAGTGGGGTAGGGCGTGACTGTTACTGAAAAGGCAATGCCTTATGGGATCGTGTTTCTCTGCTAGAACCTTGATCTGACAGATTTCAACCCACTCAGAAAGTGGTAGATAGAATGAGCTGTAGAAATCCCCCTTCCTGTTGTAAGGTTATGAATCCAGGTTTGAAGAAGCAGAGACCCTGCCCCCATTCTCCTCTGGTCTGGTTTTTAGTGGGTATACGGAGGAGGAAGTCTGGGCTCCCCAAAGAACATGGTTTCCAGAGCACACAAGCTGCTCGTCCTCTCCTTGTGAGCTTCTAGGTTCCACTGTATCCTGGACCTCACCTTCACAAAAAAGTGTGATGTACCTAAATCAGAGCCATGGATCCCAGGATGCCACAGATGACTCAATTGCATTTAGTGCAGTCTTTCCATGTAGCTAAGTATAACACATGGTGTGCCTTGAGAGGATGCCAGGTGTCACATGTCCCAGGCCCCAGCCCCTGGGGAAGCTGGTGTGTAACCCTTCATGTGCCAACATTTATCGCCTCCCTGAATCCCTCTCTTTGCTGTTCCACTCTCCCCTTTGACTCCATGGCAGACACAGTGCTACGTGCTCACCCAGTTTCCTGCTTTTGCACACAGCTAAATTTCATTTCTCAGCATCCTTCAATTTTAGAGCCATGTGAGAGAGGCTGTTTCAATGGGGACTTAGGCCAGTTTCAGGCCTGGCTCTGAAAAATGCCCTATGCAATTCTCCAGCTCTCTTGCCCTGGGCTACAGCCTCCAGGTAGGAGACTGCAGGGGAGAGGCAGGCTTCCTGACCTGCATTGGAGTGAGATAAGAGCAGGGAATAAACTTTTTCTGGCAAACCACTGTGCTTTGATGGTTATTAGTTATTGCAGATTAGCTTACCTCAGCCTGATTGACCAGCCCAGCTCTTCAGAGTTCTTCTTCTTATGTCCAGGTTCCTCAAGATACAATAGGAGGCCAGGTACAACTTCCACTCCCCCAAGCTCCCTACTTAATGCAGTCCCATGCCACAGCAATGTGTGGGACCCTCTGGCCACATTATCCATCAGTTACTGAAGTGGAGATTGAAGAGCAGATTTTCTGCAAAAAATATCTAAAGAGTAAATAAAATGTTTTTGCATATGTTGCTGGTGTCCCTCGGGATTCTTTCCATATGTGGATTAATGTATGCTTTTTCATTATTCAAGAAGGACATATCTTGCATCTACTAGTGATGTAACTGTAAGGCACTGAAGATTAGAGGAGGTTAGTACAAGAGTCAGAAAAAACTTTTTTTTTTTATCTTTGGTTGAAAGCAGATGCAAATATCCTTCAAGATTCCCTATTTTCTTTAAAACTTCAATTTATTATTAAATAGTTTGATTTTTTTCCAGGAAAAAAATACTGTAAAAAAACTTTAATTATATAAATCATTTAAAAGTTATTCTAGAGTTTCAATTTTCCTAAGAACTTCTATTTAATTAAATAATACTAAGGAGTTTAAAAATGAATCTGAAAGAGCTGTCAGGGCATCAGGAGCCTGCCATCACTGTACAGATTTGAGGATTGCACCTGGTTCTCTCTAAGACATAAGGCTACTCCTGAGTCCCTCTGAAGGTCAGTATTTGGATGGTAGATTTCCCACAGATCTGAATCAGACTACATTTCAAGTCCAGAGAAGGGTCCTTCCTCAAGGCAGGTGTCTAGAAGGCTCCTTGCTGTCAGCTAAAAAACAGCACAGAGGTACTAGGCACTGACACAGTGGCCTCTGTGCTTTCTAGGGCTGGGAAAACTGGTCCTTGATATGGCAGATTCTCAGTTTACTCTTTCCCTCCTGATCATCCTCAGCCCTTGGAATTTCTAGGTAGTTTGAAGACAAAACCAAACTCACTCTACAATAATGTAAGTGACCCTGTCCTATGCTGCACCAGGGACTACGGTGTGGAGAGTATAAGACCCCTGGGTTAAAGATTTTGTTCCCCAGGTGGGTGCTACTGCGAGGTGGATCCCTGTGGGAGGTTCTTGGATCACTGGGGGCCTGCCCTTTAAGAGATGTGAGACTCTTGGCTCTCAGTCTTTTTCTGCTTCCTGATTCATGATGTAAGTGGGATTTTACCCCACATATACTCCCACCATGACGTGTCATTCTCATTAGAGGGCCAGAGCAATGGGGCCACCTGATTTTGACTAAAACCCCCAGAACCATGAGCCAAAATAAATCTTCTTTTCTTTAAAATATATTAATTGCCTCAGATACTTTCTTATAGTACTAGGAAGCTAACTAATAATGATTAAACTTAAAAATCGCTTTTGTTCTCTGAATCTGACTCACTCCCTTTTCTTCAGCTATCTGGGCTATGCAGAGATTTGTGGAGTATCAGTGAAGTGAAATAAGCATTGGGGAATGGAGAATTAAAACAAAAGAATCAGAGAAGGCCAGGCGTGGTGGCGCATGCCTGTAATCCCAGCACTGGGCTATATAGTGAGTTCAGGACCAGTCTGACCTACCAGAGTGAGACCTTGTGTCACAAAGCAAACAAAAAACAAAAATGACAACAACAAAAAAAGAATCAGTGAAATACTAATACTAAATGAGAAATCTTTTCTTCAGATTTTGAAGACAAACTTCACAGCTTCTCCCCCTTAAATACGTCATGTTAATTACCTCTCTATCCTTTACCACAAAAAAAGAAAAGTTGCCTATTCTTTTTAGTGTTTTGGCCAGGGGTATTTAATATGAGAAACAAAAACCCAAGCTATCTTAGACACACAGTTACAGTGTCATCTCATGTAATGCTAGGACACTAAGGTAGTATGTTCAGGGCTTGTGAAACAGCAGGTCTAGGACTTGGGGAGCCAGTAGGAGCCAGATTTTTCTTCCTTTCCCATCATTTTTCTTTCCTCTCCCTTGTCATGTTTTGGCATGTGTGTGTGTGTGTAACTCCACGCCTGTTGTTTGTATGTGCATGCATGCGTGCGTGTGTGCGTGTGTGTGTGTGTGTGTGTGTGTGTGTGTGTGTGTGTGTGTGACTAAGGCAATATATGCCTCTGGCCTTTGCTTACCTCTACATCTCTGAATCAAACTCACTGCAGATCTCTCTGCAATCCAGAGTTCTTTGTTTTTGCAAAGAATGAGAATGAAAACCTCTCCAATCTGGGCCCAGCATCATGCCCTGACCTGCTATCAGTGCCTCTGTCTCTCTGTTGCTCATTTCCAGTGGTAAAGAAGAGAATCAGAATAATAGCCCAACCTTTATATGAGTCCCCTAATAAATATTGTTGTTGTTAGTGCCATATAACTGAAGTGAGGGAGGGATGAAATCGGGAGGCAGGGAGTGGATATAAAGGATGGGGGGTGGGTGGGCTCATAGCACAGAAGAGTTTGGCAGGCATCACAAAACTGTTGATCACATCTGATTAAGGGGAGGGGATGGTGACCCTGCATCTTATACATTAATAGTCACTCTAGAATTATTTGATTCAGTTTCTTGCTTTACAATGACTGACCATATCATCATCACAATTTCTACCTCGTTATTATTTTGCAAAATCACAAAGACACTGTAATTTTCCATATAGCTTACTGTGTGTGTCTCAGTCATAAATATTCAAGGTAACAATAGCACTTACTTGTGGGGAGGCACCTGTAGAGGATTTCTCTGAGTTAGGCAAAGCTGTTTTATTGCTAGAAATTTCCTTCTATTCAAACTCAACAGAATGCTCCCATCTTTTCCCAAGTCTTCGTAGCAGCACAAGTATAGAAAGAACAGGGTCAATCGATTGGCCTGAGCCGAGATAGTCTTGACTATGTTTGCAAACATATATTCCTCTGTAAATCACAACATCAGGCCTTATCTCCCTCCCTCCTTGCCTCTAGAAATCCCATCAATCATGTTAAAGTTCTTTATCTCAGGAGACACAGTCAGGATCAATGGCCACACCTTTCCCTTTTATTTAATGTCTTTGCTACCTCAAGCCACAGGGACTCAGCTACCTTGGGCATCCCTGCCTGGAGACTCCCCTATCCACTCACAAAGACTCTGCCAACTAAATCAAGGTCACAGCCTTTCCAGCCTCTGCTGAGAGGCATCTTATTCAAGATGCAGTCTTATAACACTAAGTATCCTATTTTTATAGAATTCTTAGACATCTCCTTCCGGTCTCCAGATTAATTGTTCTTCAAGGCGCTTGCCTTTATTTTTGTTATTCTTTGTCTGTTTGCTCCAGTGGGTGGCATTACCACTGCTGTAGTTTAGTCACCGAAAGACTAAACCCACATATGCAGCTCACTTACTGCAGCATCTGCAATCTCAAGGCTGCATTTTGTGACAGAAGCTAATCTTGTTCTTGCCTCAGGTTTGAGATCTGGTATTTTTTTATTTAATAACTGATTCATCTCTCTCTTCTACTTTCAATTTATAATCTATCTGCGAGTCCCATTTACCTCTGTCAGTTACATGTTTTTTAGAACAAGGTAAGACACACATTTTACAAATCCAAGTCTTACCATTATACCAGGGTTACACAGGACTAAGAAGCAATATAGGTAAAACCTAACTGGAGACACAAAACTCTTTCACTGTAAGTCAGTTCTGTTTTTCCCACAGCTGAATCCTGGAATATTGCTTAATATGTGAGACACTTGATAACTCTTTCTTGACTGACTGTGGCTCACTTTCAATCCTTTCTAGTTAGAGACCTGAAAGCTTCAAATTGTGGCTAAAGTTCTTAAACTCAGCCACCTCCCCCCGCACACACACACACACACACACACACACATACAAGGTGCCAGTTCAGGTAACAGACGGGCCTGGCCAGGACTTGGTTAGGGTTAGGTTTATGGTTGCACTTACAGCTTCTTCAATTTCCATTTAGCTAAAGCCTCCAACCCTTCCTTTTGAAGAAAGGGATTATATTGAGATATCAGATCTCAGTTCTGCCACATCCTCTCAATCCTTTGTCAGTTATTTCCACACCCCTGGAGGGAAGCTGTTGATTCTGGTTCTGATGACTGGATCAAATGGCTCAGTAATATACTGACCCAACTTTCAACTACGTGCCCTTCAGGAAAGAGATGAATGGGTAATAGCCTATGAATTCAAGGTCACAATCCTTCAAAATCAGTTTCCAAAAGTCACAAAAATTGTGTTGCGTGTAAAATACAGATAGTTTTCTCAAGAAGCAAATTCAAGTTGAACGTGCTTGATGAAGTAAGAAGAGACCAGGTTTAAGCCCAAACTCTCCCACTCATTAGATATGTGATACTGTGGCATTATCTACCTCCCTCTTCTCTGTTCACTCATCTAAACATCTCCTGGCTTCCCAGTACACAGGTAACAATCACACTAGCCTTCGTGATGCCTCTTAACAGCTCCTCCAAACAGAAAGCCAGACATTGCTCCTCATCTTTTCTCTCTCCTTCTGTTTCTTCCATTTTGTTGTGGAAGTTTTTATATCCTCCTGGATCCTCAGAAGTAAGTTTGTCATTTCAGCTTCCAAACAAAGACAGCTCACAGCTGACTGCCTCTGAGACCCACATGAGAAAACTGCTTGGTGGAGGCAAAGCAATTGTTCCCGAAGAGTGCTGTGCAGCCTAGCATTCTAGAATGTTCTGAGACTTGTAACAAAATGGGGGGCGAGCCCATTGCCCACACTGACCCACTCTTGTCTTCAGTGCCGCTCACTCTTGTTTGCAATGGGGATGCCATGATTGCTTTCTTTTGTCACAAGTCCCTATTTTCTCCTCTCCAGGCATCTTATTGCTAAATTCCCTATTTCAACCAAAGAGGAGAAGCCTCACACTTACCAATTCTCATCAGTTTTGGATCGATGCTTCTAGAAGATTCCCTAGTCCATATTCTGTGGAGTCAGAATGGAGCCCACTGCTGGTCTGTCCAGTGTAGAGGGGCGATCCACCCTCCCAGCTAAGGAGGCCCAGTGCTGCAAGGAGCCCAGTGCCACCTTGGGCACACTGCACCTCCAGGTCATGAGCACATCAAGGGCAGTGGTGGCAGAAGGGGCCAGAGTGTGGCCTAACCTGGCTGACTTGCACAGGGGAATTCATGTGTCTGTTCTGTATATGACTCCCAAGCCAACAAAGACACAGCAAACTAGGAAGTCAGTATTTTAAGCCTCTCTATTCC